CTCTCTCTCTCTCTCTCTCAAAAATAAATAAAGATTAAAATAAAAATTTTTTTAAGTGCCCATGAGATGGTATGGCCAACACATATCAAATCATCAAGTTCTTCCCATTGTTGTTTCAAAGTTTTCCTCAAATTCAGTATCTTGCAGACTGAATGTTCAATATCTCATTACTAGATGACTGCAATAGATAGACTCTTTAAGGACTACTCTTGCTCTGCTCTGGCTTTCCTATGTTTCCTCAAACATGTGGCTCCTGTAACGGACTACTAACCATGATACTCTAGGTCAAATCTCCATGTAGCATTTAAGGTCTATGAGCAACACGTACTACTACCTATTCAACTCTATTCCCAGTTATGACCCAATATTGTTCTTCCTCAGCTGTGACCTGGCTTATTTCAGGAATTTCTTTTTGCAAATACCAGCCCTCTTGACTTTGCTGCTTCTCCTCAGAATGGTCTCCTAATCTGAAATATTTTCATTCTTCTGCTTCACCCTAAATCCACTATTACCTAAAAGACCGACCACCCAAACTCAACACCAGCGGTTTTTTTGCTTAGGGTTAACCAGCAGTTAGGTCCACTCTATAATCAAATCATTTTATTCTCTACCTAGTGGTGTGCTATCTCAAGTTCCTTGAGGTTTACGTTCCTCTTTTATTTTTTTTTAATATTTATTTATTTTGGGGAGAGTACAAGCGGGGTAGGGGCAGCAAGAGGGGGACAGAGGATCTGAAGCGGGCTCTGTGCTGACAGGCTGACAGCAGCGAGCCTGATGCAGGGCTCGAACTCACAAACCGCAACATCATGATCTGAGCTGAAGTTGGACGCTCAACCAACTGAGCCACCCAGGTGCTTCTTTTATTTTTAATTCTCTAAATAACACAGAAAACACAGAAAATTAAATTTTCTTTCCCCCCTGGTGGGGGCAGGGACGGCAATGCTCCAGTCTATTTATTGAGCTTCCCTCATCTAATCAAAAATATCTAGGTTCATTTTCATTTCCTTTTCTAAACTTTTACCTATTTTTCTTTCCTACATGCTTCCTCAGTTTTCCCCCACCTTAGGCGGAAAAAAGGAAAAAGGTAGTGTGTGTGTGTGTGTGTGTGTGTGTGTGTGTGTGTGTGTGTGTGTGTAGCAGGGGAGTGTGTGGAGAAAATAGGTACCACTTAGACTACATTCTAATTTTGGTCATTTTACCACATTCTTATCTCACCAAACTACGGGTAGCCAGAACATGACCTCTGCACCACAAGCTAGACTAAAAATACCAAGACATAAATATTCTGTTGACCTCAGTATTCTGATTGGCAGAGAATTTTAGAACATGAGAAATGGCTACCCAAAACTACAAAATAATTTCTTGATACAATGCCTGGAAAGGTTTACAGTTTTCAAATATTAAAACATATTCTCTAGAAATAATTTTGGCAATGTAAAACACTACATTTTTTACATTTTTGAGGAAAAAATGCCCATGATAATTATGCACAGCAATATGCACTTTTTTGTTGTTTCTAGAAAGTCATTAAAAAGAAAAGACTTCCTAAGGATTTTACCAAACTATAGTAAAAATAATGATATTAACTAAATGTTCCTAGCACAGTTTCAGTACATTTAGAAAGAGACATAATAAAACATTTAACTTTTCTAAGGCTAATAAAGCTGAGTCCAGAGATTTCCCTCAGGGATATCTGAAGGGATAAGTGGTCTAATCCCACAAAATTTCATACTAATAAAGGGGAGAATATTCTAGCTCTAAATCAGTAATAACATGTATACACACAACAGTTATCTACTTCCACACATCCATATTAGGAAATTTAGGGGCTCCTTTTAAATGAGACAAATAGATTTGATGAAGTAATCAAAGAGACAAACAAGGCAGCATATTTAAAGGTGGAGATGGTAGGAGAAAGCAGACCAAACACAGTACATGGCACAAAGTTACATAGGTAAAGAAAAATGCTTAATACATTTTCAGGGAAATGTCCATACAGTGTGACGGACACAAAGAATATATATAGGGGAACAGTAGGCTAGAAGGATCATTTGCGGTTGAACCAGAGAGGACTTTAAATGTGAGGCTAAGTCAGAAATATCACACAAGAGGGGCACCTGGGTGGCTCAGTCAGTTAAGCACTGGACTCTTGAAGACTCTTGATTTCAGCTCAGGTCATGATCTCACCTTGGGATTCTCTCTTTCTGCCCCTGACCTCTCCCTCCCACCCTCCCTCCCTCTCTCTCTCTCTCTCTCTTTCTCTCTCTCTCTCTCAAACACACACACACACACACACCATCTCTGTCTCAAAATAAACTTAAAAAAAAAAAAAGGAAATATCATACAAGAGTTCTTCACATAGCCATTTGCTAATGTTTTAACACTTCATGGCTTTTTCTGCTCTTTCTAGCCAGTCTTCATTTCGTTACCCCAGACAGTGGTAGAGTTTTACCCTTCCCCTATTGCAAAGATTTATGTTTCTATCCTTAATTTCTCTGGAGCTTAATTAGCCCAAGCCCTTCCAAATTCTCTCTAGCAATCTACGTGTCACTGGTAAGCATAACTTTACCAGAACTGCCTTAGTTAAATGCTAGTTTTGTCAAAACAGAAATGTATATGATAAACAACACATGTTAACATGAACTGTTTCATTTTAATGGAACTATACACTTAAATTAAGCTTTAGATCTAAGAGCATTACTTTGCATTATGATAGCTAAAAAATATATCTTAAATATTAAGCTTTTGCCCGACTCCATGCTAGACAAGCCTCAGGATCAATGGTAGTATCAAAACAACATTAGGTTTATTTGCACCTGAAGTGGTCACCACAATGGAGCACAGAGTCCTACACTTTTAAGAACAATTGTGATTGGTAAAGTGCTTGAGGAATTACCGCTTAAAAAAACCATTACTTGTAACGTGTTAATATTTCTGTTTTTGTAAACTCCCCTCTGCCTCATTCCCCTAACCCTTTTTAAAGTCAACAAGGATCACATTTCCTTACCAGGCCAATTAGTTAGATTGGAGAGCTTCGTTTCCAAAATCCTATGCCTCTAGCAAAGAATTATGTATCTTTTAGATCTGCCACCATAAGAACCTTCTGATACTGATCAATGGGAATACAAAAGGTTGCTAGAAAGAGAGGACTGATAAGAATTTTCAGGGGGATATACTTACAAGTACGGCTACAAGTTGTAATAATTTATTACTGTATGTATTTTAATTCCTCTCACTCAAGGATATAGGTTTCTCACTATAAGGCAAGAAGAAACACAGTTCAAGGTACCCCTAGCAATGTAGCATCCTCATGAGCAAGAACAAGTAAGTGAAGGCATGGGCACGCGTTCATGCACCTATAAAGGATCAGCTTTATAAAGACTGGTTCTAGGTCTCTGATGTATGTATTTTACATTGTGCTTCTGTATCTTTCCCCTCTGGACATCTCTTTTAAGTTTGGTCCCACAGTACAGAGTAGGATCAACAGTAAAACTGACTAATGATGCTAAGTTCAGTGAGGATTTTACAGTTGCTCTACTACTTTCTGACATGGCTTCCTCTAAGAAGAGAATGCAACTGAAAGGTGGAAAAACTGACCAAAGAAGAAATGATCTAGAAGCTAACCAATCAAATCAACTCCAAAAGAAGAAATGGGCAGAATATGGCAAGAAACAAGGCAAACAAATTAACAGATCAAGCTATACGTAATAAAAACTGTTCTCAATAATATTAAGTCACCATCACCAACCCCAACACACGTGTTAGTCGCACACATTATCACCAAATACTTAATCTAATAATCAATCACTGACAGAAACCATTACCAAATGTCAAATTTTATTTAAATTACAAATGTAGTAAAGATACAACATTCTGAGATATCCCAGGAAGACCCTTAGAGCTCACAATACAAAAAGGGGTATAACACACTCTTCTCTAGAAACATTTTTTTTAGGAAATCCCAGAATTTCATGTAAATAATTGCAGAAACAAGAAAAAAAATGCCTGATCCCAGCTACTAACAGCTACTTACAAATAGAACCAAATAAAACACATAGGTTTAACCTAAAGAAGTTCCTATCACTTAAGGCTGTACTCTGAAACGCACCAAGCTACTCCATGCTAATTCTGCAGCTGTTCAAGAAATAGCAAGATAAGCTAAAAACAAAAGTTGGGGCACAGAGTCTGTGAACAACATCTGACCAGCAAAAGAGAAAACACACAGCTAGGATGGATTCAGACAGAGTGTGAAATACATCATTTTAGGAAGCAGCTAAAGTTGAAACTGAAAACATAATAAGAAAATGGTGGTGACCAGGACAGGGCCGAGAAAGCAGAGGGCACTTGTTAATTCAGACATTGCATTGTCCTTCTATCATTCAGTTTCATTTCTTAGGTCAACTGAAGGATACAGAAATCATATGGAGATAAGGAAGCATGTAATATTAATGTTCCACAGCTATAAGTCTCCTAAGCTGACGTGGTCACATCCTTATTCAATCCAATTTTGAACGGATGATGGTTTCACTTCATTGCCGATTTTACGTCTGTATCTTCAATCTACAGGGAGCTTACAAGTTATCACAGGCAGGCAAAAAATGGCTGCTGTGTCATATACATGTCCATTCCTAAACTGTAGAGTTCCTTGCCTCAGGTTTAAGCTAAATTACTTGTGGCTGGCCATAAAGAATGTACCAATGTGCCCAGGAGAACAACTGCAAAAACGGATTAAAAAGAATAACTACCTGTAATCTTCAAACTTGGGGACAGAGTATAACAGAAAACAACAACAACAACAACAACAACAACAACAGATTGGGGAATCTGGGCATAACCCTGCTTCTGCCACTAATTAAACAGTTACATAAAACTGAGTTTTACACACACACACACACACACACACCTTGGTTTCATCATCTACAAAATTAAAGGAATGAAGTTATCTCTAAGACCACTTCTAGTTCTAAAAGTTCAGAACTGTGTATTTTATGAATAGAATCTTCAAGAAACTAAGAGTATCTTAAAACAGTCCTCATCTATCCTTGGTTTTAAATATGATGCACTGGACATGAGGCGAAGAGGCTTAAGTTTAGGATTGACCTATAGTAATGGATAACTTAAGAGAAAAAAAAAATTACAGAGCTTCTTCATGAAGATCAATTAAAGTGTTGTAGACTGTACAAACGAACTGAGTGATCTAAATGATTATAATACTCTATACACACACAGGTGTTCTCTAACAATGCAGTGTTTCCACAGATGATCAAAACCCAACAGAACCAAAAGCAAAGAGGGAAGAAAAAGCATATAGAAAAAGTCATCCAAGTCTACAGTTTCATCTTTAGGGAAACCATATTGAATCACTGCCAATCCATATGTAAAAGCTCTGTAATAAATACCCAGGGTGCCCAACAGGTAGATGACAGGGTTATAAACTTTGGCCAAAACCTTCCTTTGGACTCTCACAGCATTCACTCAGGTTAAAATTATGGAGAACAAAAGGGACTCTGACAAAGTTGAATATGCTTCAAATAAAAAATGTCTAGATAGGGCTTTATGGTTTACAAAATGTACATATCTAATCTGATCAAAACTCTATAAAATAGAAAAGGTAAGTGACTACGATGCACTTAAAAATCTCTCTCTCTCTCTCCCTCTCTCCCTCTCTCCCTCTCTCTCTCTCTCTCTCTCTCACACACACACACACACACACACACACACACACACACACACGAGGAAACGCTGAGACCAGAATACCAGTCTTCCAACTCAAAGTCTATGTTATTTCCATTGGAGAACACTATTATTTTGTCTGGTAAACAAGAAAAATAACAATGGGGCAAAGGCCATAACAACAGGGCCATACACTTTACAGTTTATAAAATCTTATGTACTACTACCATATTTAATCTCTGACTCTGAAAGTAGTAACATTATTCCTATCGTATAAATGAGAGAATCGAGAGCCTGTAACCTGGTGCCTAGTTACTGCAAACTGGAAAGTACTAGCACGTGCGTGAGTGTTTGAGAGAGCAGAGGGACGCACACAGCTAATCCTGTATAGAAGTCTGAAAAGGTAAGGATCCTGGTCATCAAAGATCACTTACCCACAGACCTCGAGATCTGAGAGCATAGTCATTCTCCAGTTCAAATTACCTGGGGACCACCGATCCATGAGTGACCGAGAAATTCCAAAAGCTTTCCGGTCTAAACCTTCTTTAATCAGAATCTCATACCCTACTCTTTTAGGAACACATACAACTCTAACAATCTAAAGTGGGTCAGTATTTCTGAAAGAACAATCTAATCATTTCAAGAGATTACTGAAAACTATAGGCTTAGTGACACTAAAATACTTTGTATTTATTATACATACACACACACAATATTAAACAAAACAAGCCATTTACTGGAAGTAATTGGAGTTACTAGTTTTACGTCAACTTACCACTGAAATGCATTGTAATGGAAGTAGACCAAACCAAGACCATATAAAAAGGCAGCATTCTGTAAATAAAGGGAAAAAGAGACTTTTAAGAAAAGCATTGATATGTCTAATGCATATGATGTTAATATAAAATACAGCATCCAAGATGTTTTAAGTCATAAAACGATCTTGCATTACAACATATTTACGATATATTTCTACAACATCAAAACAACAGTGATGAGTCAGCAGATGGCACACAATCCAATCGACTTGGAGAGATTCTCTGGTTTCTTTTTAATCAAACCTGCCCTAAAATTAAAAAATTGTGAAGCAGAATTCCATGGGCACATCTAAAATAAAAACCTATTATTCAGGAATAAGAAAATGCTTGGACTATGCTAATCCTATGCTCTCTTGCTTTTATCTGTATTCTTTCTCTGGTTCTTTGTTTCTTTAACTAGATTTAATTTTATGTTCAGTGCTGCCAGGAAGGTTGTAGTTAGAATTCATAGGAAATGCATAAACCCAGAACAAAATTTTAGTGTTAAAAAAAAATCACATGCTAAAATGACACATTTGGGGCTCTAAACATATAGTGATTCCTTTTGCGGTACAAAACGGAACGATGCTTAACCAGACTCATTCTGATCTCTGGCCTCCAAAATTGGAACTACCTAGCTACTCCTTTTCTCAAAAAGAACAAATGTTTGAGTATTTATTACATGGTTTTTCTTTTTTTTTTCTTTTTAACCAATCAGTAAGTAAATCAGTTTTAGTAAACCTTACCTGTTAAAAACAAAAAAACAAACAAACAAAAAAAAGTAAAGCTTTCAACGCTGACCCTTGAGAACAAATTTCTCCAAACCTATATTCTCAAACGTGAAAATTTTAGACTCTTAAAATAAATGCTTCTCGCCACACAGTCTTGGGCTGCATCTCTCCAGAAGCATACCCTGAGACAGAGGTTTTAGGATAAGTAGTCTACCTGGGAAGTTACCCTAGCAAATACCAGTAAGGGAGTGGAGAAGTGAGGCAGGGAAGGGAAAGAAGCCAATAAAGGGTGCAGTATGGCTGGTTATACAGCTGGGACTGAATCCTACTAGGGATCTCAAGTAGACAGTATGGAACATTCCTAAATCATCTTGCCCTTTCTCAGAGTCATCTTGCCCAAGTGTGAGGGACTAGAGTACTTACTTATCCCACAACTACTATCAGTCACTGGTCAGAGAACAAGAATCAGCGACGTTTAAAGTATAAAGAAAACTGTAAGCAGCCAGGTGACTTTTTGGCAGGCAGTTATTTTTTTTTTAATACTAAGCTTCGTTCTAGGATTATATTGTGCATTTCCTCTGAATTTCAAGTACCTTTCTGGAAACACTGAAAAATGTTTCTTAAGTACAATCTTAAAATGTAATAAATTGAAGACTTGATTTCATTCAATCTTCATTACCCCCAGCTTTCCAATCCAGAAAATTACATGCTACAGGAGTATTCACAGATGTGGGCATTCGCAAAGGTCTCAGAAAACCTCTATTTCAAAAGTTTGTATCTTAAAAAATTTTTCAAATTTGTTTGGAACTGGTTTTTATCAGGATCATTCATTTATCACCCCATCCCCCACCCCCTGAAATAAGCTGAGCGATTACTAGGTGTCAGGGACAATACTCAAGGGCTGAAGAAGCCAAACTGATTAAAACAGAACTTTCCCTGCTCTCAAGAAGTATACAACCTAAGTGCGTGCAGGTGGTGGGGAGCGGGGAGAACAGTGATAACAAGAATGCAGGAGCAGTTAATTCAGTCATGAAGTGTTCCGCCCAGAAAGTCTAGACTTGAAAGACAACTGTCTTCTTAGGTGAGGGAAAAGGCAGAGAAGTGAGCAGGGCTGAAAAACAGATTGACGTCTTTCACCAATTTTGGTAATTACCCAGAGAAGGTGGTGTGGGGAGTGGTGGAAATAGGACTTTACTGAGGGGAATTTCTGCTTTTGAGAAACACCCTGCATTCTCCCAACGTCCTTACTTTGTTCATAGCTTATCCTTCCCACTCTAGGAAATCCTATCCCTATCCCTGCCACCTTATACATTCTATCCTTATTCAAGATCCACCTTAAATGGCATCTTCATCAGGAAGCTCTGCCGCTTCTCCCGCCTCAATCCAGAAGTAATCTTTCCAACCTCTGAATTTCCAACCTCTAAAACTGGCCTCAGAGCACAAAGTCTCTATCCTACGGTATGACTATGTAATAGTAAGAACTTAATTTAACACAAAACGCCAACAACATTTCTTTTTAAAGGCTCTAACCCCACGAGGTGGTGGAGGGCTTCATTTATAGAATCAACAAACAAGGATCAGAAACTTGCTCAAAGAGCCAGCTACTAGTGCGGGGCACAGGAACTGAATCTAGGCCTGCCTCCGGAGTTCACTCTTTTAACTACTGTGTTGTTATTTGTGTACTGACTAAATGCCATCTCACCAGACAAAAGTGCCACAGAGGCAGGAGTGTTAATCATCTGGGTATCCCGTTACTACCTAGCACAGTGCCTTGTACACAGCGGATGCCCCAAGGTTTAGTAAACTGAATCACCCAGTATTTAAGCTCAGTTATTAAATTCAGATCCCTAGATGACATATAGTATGAGGCGTGGTTCCTATTAACCAGGAGCTTACATATCTTGGCAAACAGTTAAGTCTCATTTTTCCATAACAGTAAACAATATAATTCAAACATTAATTGAGCATCTGTTATGAATCACAACAGAGTTATCAGCACTGGAAAGATGGTAGAGAACAGATAAAAATCCCTATCCTCAATGAATTTACAACTTAATGACAACAGATTATGAAATTAAGTGCGCAATAATATATTCCAAGCTACAACCATTTAAGAGTTAGTGAAGTATAATAAGGACTAGGAAAGAGATAGTAGTTGGGTACTGCATCTCAAGGACGGCTGGGAAAGGAGAAGGAAAAACAAGCTATCTCAGCCAGGGGTTCTAAACCACACAGCTTTAGAAACAGTGACCTGGGGGTCTTACATATGCTCTTACATAAATGAATTCCTGGGGCACCTAGGTGGCTCAGTTCGTTAAGTGTCTGACTCTTGGTATCGGCTCAGGTCATGACCTCATGGTTCGTGGGATGGAGGCCCACATCAGGCTCTACGCTGACAGCGTGGATCCTGCTTGGGATTCTCTCTCCCTCTCTCTCAAAATAAATAAACTTTTTTAAAAAATGTGTAATCTTTGGATAGAATAACAATTTGATTGTAGCACCACGAAGCATCCCATACTCCAAGAGTCACCTTTGAAGATAATCATTTTTATACAGGAATATCATTAAGAAATAAAAACACGCCAAACTATTAGAAAAATACCGAATTTCTTGGGGCACCTGGGTGAAACGATGGGTTAGCGTCGACTTCCAGCCGGGTCGCGATCTCAGCGGTCGGGGAGTTCCAGCCAGCGTCGAGCTCTGAGCTGATGGCTCAGAGCCTGGAGCTGTTTCGATTCTGTGTCTCCCTCTCTCTCTGCCCTCTAATGTGCTCATCTCTCTCTGTCCCAAAAATAAATAAATGTTGAAAAAAAAAAAATTAAAAAAAAGAAAAAGAAAAATACCGAATTTCTTAACCTTATTCTTCTCTGATACTAATCCCACATAGGTAGTGGTGCACAGTGGGAACAAAAAAATCTGCTATTCATCCTACCCAGGAACCAAAAGAGGGGATAGGGAGGCAGAAGGCATTCCAAAGCCCCAGGAGTGAATTTCCAAATGCCTTCTGGTTACCTCCACCTGTTGGATATGCTACAAATACCTGAAACTCAACAAATCTTGGACTGAACAGGAGAGTCTGATGTTCTAGTGGTATGGAAAATTTTCAATTTTTTTTTTAACGTTTTTATTTATTTTTGAGAAAGACAGAGAGACAGAGCATGAGCTGGGGAGGGGCAGAGAGAGAGGGAGACACAGAATCCGAAGGAGGCTCCAGGCTCTGAGCTGTAAGCACACAGCCCTATGCAGGGTTCAAACCCACAAACCGTGAGATCATGACCTGGGCTGAAGTCGCACCCTTAACTGACTGAGCCACCCAGGCGCCCCCCCTACGGAAAATTTCAGACAGTGGTAACAATCTCACCAGTTAAGCAAGACAAAAGTAGTCCTATTTTTCTTCTTTTACCTCCTTCCCACCAATAAACCCCATTTACTCTACTTGTAAAACTCATTTTACAACCTAAAAGCCTCTGAATCAATCCCCTCTCCATTCTTACTGCCCTTCTCCAAGTAATCTAGGACCCCAACTTTGTCTACCTGGCCTCTTGCAATAGTTTCTTAACTCCTCTCCCAAATTCTAACCTCCCCTTCCGTGTAACCCCTTTCAATTACCTTCCATTACCACTGCCAGTGAGCTTTCAAAAACTCAAACATGACACTGTTCTACCTGAAATTCCTCTGAAGAGTCGCTACAACCTAGGGTGGCTCAAAGGGGCCTCATTTTTTTTTTAGCCTTGCTCAATTTTCCCAATCTCATAGCCTCCACTTCCATCAGGACAAATAACATGCACATCTATGAATAAAATACGCTCTTGCACATTTCTGTGATTTTAAACATGTCTGCTTCTGCTGCTGAAAACCCAAGTGCCGTCTTTCCTTCAACTCACTTCTCAATCTGGCAAATTCCTATCCATCCTTTAACACTTCATTCACCTCTTCTTTCTAGAAGTATTATCTGACACATTTCAAAGCCCAAACAGAGTTAGGTTTTCTGAGACATGTTTCTAAATGAATCTTTTTGTCTATTACAGATATGCTACTTATCCCCTCCACTAGAACAGGAGTCTAAATGGTAGAGAGGGACCCAATCCTTTTTTTGATCCCTATGGGAAAGTAACTGCATGTGTAAGTTATCTAGGAAAGGTTTGCTGCTGAATAAGTCAATCTCTTACAGCCTTAAATAACCTGTTGCACATTTTTTTCATCAAAGAATTTAATACGTTGCTAAATTCAATTTATACCGAATTACTTCCTTAATTTGGACACTTACAAAGAGTCTTCCTACTTATAATATAGTAAAAGATGTTGC